TTTTTTTTTTTTTTTTTTTAGTTTCTCTTTCTGACAGTACATTATTGGTGTATAAAAATGCCATTGATTTCTGGGTGTTAATTTTGTATCCTGTTACATTGCCGAATTCATTTATTAAAACTAGCAGTTTTTTGATGGAGTCTTTAGGGTTTTCTATATACAATATCATGTCATCTGCAGATAGTGACAGTTTTACTTCCTTCTTTCCAATTTGGATGACTTTTATTTTTTCTTCTTGTCTGATTGCTGTGGCAAGGACTTCCAGTACTGTGTTGAATAAGAGTGGTGACAGTGGACATCCCTATCTTGTTTCTGTTCTTAGGGGAAATGGTTTTAGTTTTTGCCCATTGAGTATGTCCTAAGAATCCCAAAACACCAATCAGAAAGAATATATGCACCCCTATAATCATAGCAGTGCTCCTTAACAATGGCTAAGATCTGGACACAGCCCAAGTGCCCATCAGTAGATGAGTGGATAAAAAAACTGTGGGACAAATACGTGATGGAACACTGTGCAGCTGTAAAAAAGAAGGATCTCTTACCCTTTGGGACAGCATGGGGGGACCTGGAGAGTATTATGCTAAGTGAAATAAGCCAGCCAGAGAAAGACAAGTATCACATGATCCCACTCATATATGGAATCTAATGAACAAAATAAACTGATGAACAAAATAGATCGAGAGACGTAGAAGCATGGATCTGATGAATCTCAGAGGGAAGGAGGGTGGGGGGTGGGAAGAGATTAACCAAAAAACTTATATGCGTGTATGCATAGTCTAGGGACAGAGACAACAGTGTGGTGGAGGCCTGGGGGGAGTGGGTGGGTATGGGGTGGAAGGGATCAATGGAGAAAAAATGGGGGACATCTGTAACACTTTCAACAATAAAGATAAAATTTTTAAAAAAGCACATTGCAGAATTACACACAATATGATACCATTTTTATAAACATTAAAAACCTGTAAAGTGATACTACATAGTGCTTAGGGATGCATACATAGAAGGTAGCAATAAAAAACACACGCATGTGATTAATAAACTCTGAACTCATGACAGGAGTAGACGAGGGAGGGCTTCACAGGGGTGTTGGCTGTATATCCAATGTTGTATTTGTTTCTTTAATGGGGGAATCTTAAGCAAATATGGCGTAATGTTAAGATTTGACAAAGTTGGGTAGTGGAGCTATTGGAGTTCATTTAAATATTTTTTATTCTTGTCTATATATTTCAAGTATTTCAAAATTTTTTAAAAATTAAAAAAAGAAAGTGATGTTTCTTGCACCCAAGTTGGGTGGGGAGCAAAAAGCTCACCTGATCCACTGAGGTCCAGTGAAGGGGTGCGCTATAGCTTTCTTGCTTCCCAGCTTGGTGCTATGGGCAGAGACTGGCTAGTTTTCTCAATGTTGGAGGCTCAAGGTCATATATGAGGATTGTTCGAGCCTTCCAGAACTCTTGGTTGGGCACAGGACACCAGGGACTGCCCTGAGCTCACAGCCAGGGCTGTGGAGCCCCTGGGCCCTACCTGCTACTTCATCCTTGACGCTGACCCAGCTGCATTCCTCCTCCAGGTCCAGGGGGTGGCCGGCGTTCTGGGTACAATAATGGGGAGTCTGGCGCCCGTAGAAGGCATCCTGGATCTGGATGACCTCCCCCGAGCCACAGTGCATGGTAGCATCGAGGCCCTCGCAGGCCAGACTCTGGCCGACACCTGTGCAAAGGTAAGGAGACACTTAGGAGGAATATGGCCATGGGTGGGCAAGTGCCTGGTTGATGGGAAGTGGAAGAGTCTCAGGGGTCAGGACTGTGAGATGCAAGGACACAGCAGAAGCTGACTCAGCAGAGGTAAGAGTATGGCTCTGGAGCCAGATGCCCAGGGCAGATCCAGCCCAGCCACCCAGCGGCTGTGTGACCCTCTGCAAATTACGGAGCTTCTCTGTGCCTCCTCTGTATAGGGAGGAGTCTATACCATATTCCACAGGGTCATTAGGAGGATTAAAGAAGTTCATACACTCTAGAGTATGGGCTATTCAAGTGGCAGCTATTTATTCTACCTTTTTCAAGTACCTTCCTTGAGCGTTATTTGAAAACAATGCCTGACACAGGATAGATGCTAAACAAGCATTTGTTGAATGAATGGTTTCAATGAGTCTTCATACTAATCCTGTGAGCTGAGCTAATATTCTCCCCATTAGGAACATAGTGGGGCTCAGTGGGGTCACTGTGCCAAGACCCCACACCAGCCCTGCTCCTGGCACTTGGTCCACGCTCAGTAAACACTGGTTGAAAAAGAACGACCTGCCTCAGGTGTGCATAGCCAGAAAGTGGGAAATGCTGAATTCAAACTCGGGCCTATCTGCCTGGTGGGAACGCCACCAAGTAGGGGTTGAGACCAAATTTGTGTTCATTTTCTATGGCTGTTGTAACAAATTACCACAAACCTAGTGGCTTAAAACAGCACAAATATAGTTATGAAGGTGAGAAGCCCACTAATGGGTCTCACTGGGCTGACCTGGTTCAGGTCTCATTTCTGTCACTTCTCCACTGTATGGCCTTGGACAAGGAGCTTACCCTTCCTGAGCCTCACTTTCCTTAGCTTTATAATGGGCCTACAATAGAATGGTGGAGGGGCTTCTATTAAGATGAATAAATGCACATGGAGTGCCTAGCTCAGCACTGGAACGTCTGCTTGATGGCCTTTAGTTCTTCACAGTGTGACCTCCTGCCAGGGCTCCAAGACCCTGGGGGCTGACAGTCTGAGAGGCAGGCTTGACATTGGGGTGGCAGAGGGAGCAGGGACTTAAGGGGGCCGTGATAAAAAGAGAGGGAAGTTGCATAATGTACAGACCAGGGAGGGCTTCGTGGGAGCTTCCACATTTTCAGAAGTAGTCAGGCATGGGAGTTAAGCCAAAGCGCATCTAGTTAAAGCTGGGGGAGGGGAGGAATGGAGCAGGGGATCCTGTAAGTGTCCGAACCCAGGACAGGGTCTGGGAGTCAGGAGCTTAGAGCTAGGGAGGGTACTGGGCCCAGGAAGCCCAGAAGCTTCTATCAAGCCTGGCTTTTGGGTCAGGGAATGAGGAGGAGGCTGAGCTCCAAGGCCAGGCCCCACGCCAGTCCCCACCTGGTGGGCAGGACCGGGTGTGTGGCCGTGGCCCTCTCCTGCAGGGTCTCTTATACACAGTCCCCAGGGCCTACATTGGGGCTCAGGCATGGGCAGCAGCTAGACAGGGCACAGGAGAAGAGCGGTTGCGAGTTAGTGGGATGTGGGCACTGGGGGCACAGACCTAGGCTGGCCAGGGAGCAGGAGTCAAGGGTGAGTGAGCATTTCCCCCTAGATGCAGATATATGAGGAAGAAAGACAGAGAGAGGCAGCAAACCTGATAGGCAGGTGAGGGGACAGGGAGGGCGAGGATGTGAGCTAGGGAGACAGAGCGAGACACAGAGACTGAGAGTCACATAGGCAGAGACAGGCGAGCATTTAGAGAGACACAGAGAGAAATCGAGAGACAAATAGAAGCAGGGAGACAGAGATTGAGAGAGAGAGACACATGGGGATAGACAGCAGAGACAGAGACAAGTGCGCAGTTAGAGAGACACAGAGAGAGACAGAGTTTCAGAGAGAGGAGCAGAGAAACACAGAGAGAGGCAAAGGAACAGAGACAGAAAGGGATGGGGCAAAGGAAGGAGACCCCACAACAGAGGCCAACTCACCAAACTCGCAGATGAAGGCGAAGGACTGCGTGCAGTTGTCCGAGGCAGCCCACCTGGAAGAAGGGTCCCTCCCAATGAAGCCGCAGGTGTTGGGAGCAGGAGAGGCCTGCCCTCCGTGCCAGTGGCTGTAGTTCACATTTGAGGCGTCCAGCCAGATCCCCGGCCCTGGGATGGGGACACGACCACCAGAACTTGGAAACGTTCTTCTGACCCTTTTTATATAGAAGGCTTGCCCCAGCTCAGCTCCTTGTATGCAGTAGGTACTCAATCAGTGCTTACAGGCTGAAGGCCTCTCTTTTCCATGCAAGCGAAGAGGCATTTCCTACCCTTTATGCTCCAACACTCAGGCATAAAAACTCGACCTAAACCCCGGGATCTCAAGTTGGAGAGCCTGTACAAGGTGGTTTGACAAAATAGTGAAGCTTTCAGCTCTAACCATAACCTACAGAGGGCACAGAAGTGTGCCTCGGGGTGTTAAAAGGCATTTCACACAGAAAGGGGCCCTTGTCAAATATACCTGGGCACTGCTGAGTTACAACAGAAGCAGTTTTCCTTACTTCAGGACCCTTCAGAGCCTTGAACCCAATGATGTTACTCGAAGAAGTGTGTGCGTGTGTGTGTGTATGTGTGTGTGTGTGATATGGAGGTATTTCAAGGCCTCTAGAGATCTACAAAACACTAGATATAAAATATTTACTGTGAAGACTCAAAAACATATTAATTTTTAAAAGAAAAGAAATCCATACAAATGTTTCAAAATTTTTAGAGTGAAGAGGGGTATAACATACTCCCATTATTGTTATGTTTCTTGTGAGTTATCCCAGGCTGAATTTTATCCATGTATCAGCACCCTTGAGTGCCTGAAATCTATTTTCCCAAATGCCAATATATTGCACACAGTGCCCTGTCTCTTGCTTATTAAATAACATTACATATTGAAGGTTGTTACATATCAGCCTACTCAGATCTACTTCATGTCCTGTAAAGCCATGCAGTATCCCCTGAAGACTTTAAACAGACCCAGCTCCTTTAAGTCCGTATACATGGATGTTCAAAAACAGAAACCCACAAATTGCTGCATCTCCAAAGCAAGAAACCATTCAGGAGATATTGCCCAAAGACATTTCAGAATTTGCATCCATTTGGCCATGAGCTTCCCAAAGTGAACTTCCCGTCTGCCCCTTTATTAAAGCATGGCCATCCACTCTGATGTATTTCTCTAGGTACTCAGCCCAGACCACATTCTGCTTTTCTAAAACCCAGTAACTTCCACAGAGCAGTTTGAGATGGTGGGACATTGGCTGGAGACCTCACTACCCTTCCCTAGATTTGTCTTCTTGAGCAAGGCAATTCCTCTCTCTGGACTTCATTTTCCTCACCCATAATATAAGAGTAGCAATGCCTACCTCATGGGGCAGGTGTAAGGATTAAATACGAAGGTTTATTTGTCCATTCTTTGATATGTATGGGCAC